AAACCTCAAGCTTTGAGAAATAGCAAGTTAAGGAAGGAAGTTAAAAGATCAGAGCAGAAATTACTGAAATTGAGGCTAACAAAATGATACTAAGAATCAATGAATTCAAGAGCTGGTTCTTTAAAAAATTAAATAAAATAGACAAACCCTTATCCAACCTTATCAAAAGAAAGGAAGACTCAAATTCATATGATGAGGAATGAAAAGAGAGAAGTCACAATGCATCCTACAGAAATCCACAAGATCATCAATACCTACTTTGATAACCTGTACTCTAAATGAGATGGAAAATGCAAAAGAAATGGACAGATTCCTAGATACATATGAATCAACAAGCGGGACCACATCATACTAAAAACTTTCACAGCAAAAGAACCCACCATCAGAGTGAAGAGAAAACCCATAAAATGGAGAAAAAATTAGCATCTACTCTTCAGACAAATAACTAATATCTAGAATATATAAAGAACTGAAACATCAGCTCCCTAAATTTAAAGACCCAATTTAAAAATGGGCATCTGAAATGAGTATTTTCTCACATGAAGTAATACAACCAGTAAATATATGAGAAAATGTTCAACATCACTGATCATTTAGAAACGGAAAGTTAAAATAATGCCGAGGATCCATCTCATCCCAGAAAGAATAGCTATTATCAAGAAATCAACCAATAACAAATGCTGGTGGGGGTGTGGGGAAAAAGGAACACTTCTGTCTGTAGGTGAGAGTGTAGACTGGTGAAAACAATGTGGAAATTCCTCAAAAAACTAAAACTAGATATTCCATTTGACTAAGCTAGTTACCTTCTCAATATCTTCCAAGAGAATAAACATAGTACCACATCCATATATGCACACCCATGTTAATAACAGCAAAATTAATAGCTAAATCTCGGAAGCAGTCCAAATGCCCATCAGCCAATTGATAAAGATGATGAAGATTTCTTAATACAATGAATTACCACTCTGCCATAATGAAGGATAAACTTAAGACCTTTCTAGGTAAATGGATATACCAAGAGACCATCCTCTCAAGTGAAACAAAGCAGGCATACATTTACATACCACATTGTTTCCCTGGTATGAGAAACCAAAGTAGATCACATACTAGCTCATAGAACATGCTTAAATAAATGCAAAGGAATTGAAATTATTCCATGTATGTTATCAAATCATAGGGCAATGAAATGGGAAATCAGTGGCAAAAGAAACCACAAAAGTAATATAAATACATAGAAATTAAATAACAATGTCCTGAACAGAAGCCCACGTGTATAATAGATATTGGGAAGTAGGAATAAAATGTCCAAATGGAAGGGGAACAGTGGAGGGAACAGGACAAAAGGAAGTGTGGAGATAGAGATAAAAATAAGAAAGAGTAGCAAAAAACAAAAGGAACAAAGTTTTATAAAGAGAAGGAAAGAAGAAATGAGAAAAAGAAATCATAAAACATACAGGTACAAATCATGAATGTAATCTTGTATATGTCAATAGTGTACCACTGAAAATAATTTTTAAAAAATAAATCTGAAGCTTGCTGCCATGGCACATGTAATATAGCTACTCAAATATAAGCTACTCAAATGACTGTAACAGGACCATCAAAAGCTCATGGCCAAAACAAAAAAACAAACAAACAACTTCATGACTAGCATGGGCAACTTAAGACCACCCCATCTGATATAAAAAATAGAGATGGCTAGGAATGTAGCTCAGTGGCAGACTGACTCTGGAAGCAGTCTACAGGATCAAAATGAAAAGCAGCAATCAGGCATACCGTGTTAAGGGGCAGTGGTTTCCAGGAAATTACCTTATAATTTGCTAAAAGAAGATAATAGATACTATGATTTCATGCTTACTTTTTTCACAACTGAAAATCTCTGGCTCCTGCCAGTCTCTTCCTGCTTTTAGGAGTTCACAATTCAGAACTGTTCAGAAGCAGCAATTCAGTTAGTATTCAGTAAAAATATGAATTAATAAAGTAGCAGGAAAATATTAAGAGTAAAAAATTGAACAGCTGTCATGTACTTGTTTTCCCTCTTAGAAACATGTGTGGGTGGTTGTGGTTTTATTCCACATGAGTAATTGGTAGGCATAGTTCCTTATTGGGAAAGGTGCTCCCAGCTTTTGTAGCCTACCTGTCTCCAAACACTCTGCCTCCTGAGCAATTCTGAGGATTAGGGAAGCAGAGGACAGAGGTCCAGCTCGGGAGTAACCTGTACCCAGGGAAGTTAAGTAAGGCGGGAATGGGCTGAGGAAACCGCAACACCAAACTGTGGTCTGAGGGAAAGAGCCAAGCAGCCCAGAAGGGGAGCAGAGAATACAGATTTGCCCTGCTGAGGAGGGTGACTCTGGAGCAGTGATCTCCTGTCCCTGCATATCCTAGAAAGCCTATCAGGTCTGGGAGACTGAGTGCATATGTGTACCAAAAACTTTTGCAGAGCAAAACAATCCTGTATCCTTCACCAGTACTTTTACAGCCGTACCTTAGTTCATGAACTCAGTTCTCTCCACAATTGTGGTTGCACTTGGTTACTTTTGTCTCATTGCTGAAACAAAATAACTGATGCTCCAAAATTAAGTGCAGAAAGGTTCATTTAGCTCACAGTTTGTAGAGGTTTTAGTCCAGAACCAGCTAGCTCCCAATCAGGGTGACCTGGCAAAGGGGCAGAAATTGGCAGAACATAGCAAGAAGCTACACAAATGGCAACAAGCCTCTTTTATTCCCTCGTGTTGTGAGCAGGCTACCCACCATGGGAATATAGCACTCACTATATCCATGGCCTCCTCTTGCACAGCCTCAGGAAGTTTTCAAAGTGAAGACCCTGGCTGCTGCAGAGCCACTTAAAACTTTTAAACTTCTTAAGCTGATACAATGAAACAACTATTACAATAGTGTGGATGGGGAACAGCCACCCTAGGGCATGTCCTCTACACCCCAGGATGTAGAACTGCTGAGTTAAGTAGTTAAGCTTTTAAAGACAGGAAGAAAGTTGTCTATGGGTTTTTCGCGCCTCGAAAGACATTTATGGATGGCTCAGAGAATCCAAGGGGACTGCCAGGGAAGATGACTCAAAAGGCATCAAAGTTTGTAATCCTGCTTTCAGTCACTCGTAGGACATTTGCAGCCCATGTGAAGTCACTCTTTTTAGTGAAAGTAGCCTGGCAGTTTGTGGAACAAGTCCATACACTCAACAGACAGTTGTACAGATGGAAGCACCCATGGGTTTCCACTGTCAAAGACGTAGGGACACCTTTCTTGCCCAGAGACAAAGGAGCAGAAGACCCCGAGCCGAGCTCAGTGCAGGTTTCTGCCGAGAATTGGCCTGTTCCCCAGCCCTCATGTGCACTCTTAGGACCTGCCTGTACCTCCCCAGCCCAATACTGTGGTCTGAATTCAGACCCTGGGCTCCCACTTGACCAAAGTCTCCAAATCTAAAGTACCCAAAGCACAGTTGCTACAGACTGCTCCTGACACCTGCCCTTCACTGGCTCGATCACTACGTCTGGTATTAGCTTACCATGGAAAGAAAAAAAACAAAACTACAGGACCAGAAGAGAAAAAGTACACCCCCAAGGCTTCACCTGTTGTGAGCTGACTTGAAGTTATGCATCGCAGTGTGCCCAGGGGAGGCTCAAAGTGGTCACGTGGTATAAAGAGCACTTAAAACAGGTGTATGTTTTCCTGGCTCCAAATGTCCAGGAAGGAGGCCCATGAGTCATTTTCATCCCATCCTTTCCCAGCCTGTGCCTGAGTCCCATGCCACCCTGCTCACTGAACACCCACCGCCCTGCTGAGCTCATCCTTCCGTCTCAATCTCAGCATTTCTGCAGGGTAATGTATGTCTTCTTGTGCCCACAGAGTTGGCTCCTTGTCCTCTCTTACAGTCTGAAGACACTCACAGCCGAGTCTTTGCTTAACACAGGGGACACGATGTGTGTGTTAAGAGGCATGTCACACATCATGAAGCACAAAAGTGAGTGGGACCTAGGGAGAACAGAGCCTGCTCTTTTTGTAGGTGCTGGGTCGTTAAGTCGTAGCCATCCCGATTCCATGAGCACAGGAAGCCAAAGTATCTCACAGTAGCTGAGGCAGAGGGACGTGCCTCAGACTCCCAGGTTCCATGCTGAACATCAGTAATCTTAGGTGCCATGACTCATGCAGCTCTCAAACTTCCTGGGGTGAGGACCATGAAGGGCGGTGAAAAGGTGAAAAAATAAGGGCAAGACACACAAAGCTGGGATCAGGTGGGACCCTCTCTCCAGATCGGAGGAAAGGAACTGCTCAACCACCTTAGTCCATTTATTTAGGCACTCAGGGAACTGATGTCAATTTCAACCCCTATTATTTGACTGACTCACCTGGGCACCTTGCCTTCCAGAGCTGGAACAGCTTGTTATGTGGCTCACTTTGGGCTCTATGTTCACAGGCCTGGCCTTGCATTAGCCCCACACATGTGATCCATCTCCAACTTCAGCCACTTCCTACACCTGGGGACTTGGAGGTTCACCTGTCCCCCAAATTCTGATGGCCCATCTTCAGAAAACTAAGCCATGTGACAGCAGGTAGCAAGGTCTGTATGTCCCCATGTTTCTATACTCTATAGTGGGGCAGTGTCTTGGTTAAAATCCTTAGAGTCTTAGGGTCCTTAATTAAAACTCTAATTTGAGGCTTTAGATATGCGGCTTTGTGTATTTGGCCAGATTACTTATATTCTTTGAGCTCCATTTCCTGTGCAATGATGATAAGACAAATAAGACAAAAACTATGCTTCCATGGATTATTGGGCTAAGTGTTAGGAGTCTATAAATGCCAAACCCACAAACGCGTTTGGTTACAGAAACTGGTTATCCTGGCTGCCAAGGACAAGAAGGCCACACTGGCTCCCCCAGAAGCAGGACCACAACAAAGGATCCGAGCAGCAGTCCCACTATGCCGTGCGTTACATGCACACATCAATTTGACTATCAGGACTTATTTTCTTACTGCATGGCTAGAAGTGCTTATGAATATTATAGCTTTTAATGTAACAATGCGAAACAATGTGAAAAAAAGATTTGCCAGTCACTGGAGGCAAGTCAGGGTCACTCCACGGGCGCCTTCTTGAGCCCCCTTTTCTTATCCTTGATGGCCGACGCTGTGGGCGCTGCCTCTGTGGTGACTCCGTGGACCTCCCTGGAGAACAAGGCCAAGGCAGTGAGGCTTTCTTTATTCTTCATTTTAGATTGCAATTTTAAGTCATCCCCATCCACTTACCCTGCGTGCTTTGTGAAAATCTCACCCTCATCAGAGGAATCCTTCCCATGCAGCTTGGCCGACACTTGTTTCATGTGTGAGGCACTGATAGGTCTGTACATATCCTTAAGCCACAGCGGGCAAACAACCCCACTCACGGCCTTCTGGAAAACAGAAGGGGACTTAGGAGCTCTGCCTCCCCTCCACCACCACCACAGCACTGAGTCCATCTCAAATTTACCTCCTTTTCCTGCTCCATTTTGTATCTCCCATGCCAACGTTGGGAAAAGCCCCTGTGGGAAAACACGTGCAAGACAGTGAGTGATTCGCATTATTGTTCTCATCTCAGACGGCACACTTCAGGTCTCCATAGGACAAAATATATACCTTAGTTCACAACCACAATAAGCAAGTTCAACCTAGACCTGGCGTCCTGATTGCGCGATGCTGTGCTTTCGGAACCTCCATCTGTTATCAAGGGCCTCACAAGGTCTCTGGGAGAGACCTCTGCACCTGGCACAGCCTGAAACCAGGCAAGATTATCACCCCATTTTCACCATCAGTTGGTGACGCTCTTTCAGTGAACAAACTGCATAACTACACTATGGGGAAAATCTCACTCTTTCCAGAGTCTTTCACATCAGTCCCCCATCATACTTAGCCCCACATGCAGCCCTCCCTGTGGAATAAACAGAAAGTGTTTCTATTTTCCTAGCTGGTTCACCCTACTCATCAAGCAAAAACTCAAGTCCAACCTGTAAAGATCTACAGTTCAGAGATTTTCATACCAACGACTGTCTCTGATGAGTGAATTGTGAAATCCCTTTAAAGGATAATTAATACTAAAAAACAGGGTGTCCTTTATGAGCCATATGTGGTGGTATACACTTGTAATCCCAGTATTCTGAGAGGCTGAGGCCGGAGGGTGGCAAGTTAAAGCCCAGCCTCAGCAACCTGGCAAGACCATGTCTCGAATACATAAATCATCACAGAAAAAGAAACTGAAGATGCAACTCAGAGCAAAAGGCCCTGAATTCAATCTCCAGTACCATCAAGAAAGAGTGAAAGAGAAGGAGAGTGCCTTGTGCAATGCAAACAGAACAGAAAGAAATCAAAATGGACTGTTTCAGAGACTACTGCGGTGGATGGTGTCTACATACACTGACTCCTCATAAAGCATGGCTCAGCCCTTACTTTCTGACACTCACTAGCAGTGTGAACACAGGGCAAGGCAGTCTCCTGTCCTTTCTCTCCAGTTCTTCATTGCAAAAAAATGAGGCAAACTACCATTACGTAGGTCTCTCCCAAGGAGAAGGCTGTGCGGTTTGTGTAAAGGAACTGAGGAGGCTCACAAGGGAACCGGAAGCCTGAGAGGATGAGCTCCTACCCCTCCACGGATGGATGGAAGGATTCCATCCTCCACCAGCTCCAGCCTAGCACCTGGGCTTCCTGTGCAGCCCCACAAGGCTTCTCCAGCACAGGAGCAGGCGTACCCAAACCTGCCACCTCTACCCTCGGTACTGGATGCCTGGTGACAGCAGATGCCTCCCTGCTGGTCCCGCCCATCTCAGCTTCCTTGCAGTGAGGGGAGGCATCAGGGGAAGGGAGGGTTACTGTGCTGCAGGTGGGCTGTGCACCGTGACATTGGGGTATTTAAGCATAGATGAGTTCTAAGTCCTCCTCTAGCCCTAGTTCTAGTTCTAGTTCTGATTCTAATTCTGGGCTTGGTCTTAGTTGTGGTTTTAGTTCTGGTTTTGAAGTTTTCCTTTAAAAATCATATTTACCTTGAGGACTCTTCTTCATTTTCCTCTGAAGCCCGTTTTTGGGAATAAATCTGTTGTGGGGGTAAACAGTCATGAGTATCCAACACCAAGACCACTACCTCCCATTCTTCACTTGTTCCTTTTCTTTATCTAAATCTTTTTTAGTCGGGGATGGTAGTGTGCTGGAGGCTGAGGCAGGAGGATCAACATGAACTAGAGACAAGGTGAATTCAAAGCCAGCCTCAGCTACATAGTGAGACCCTGTCTCAAAATACAAAGCAAAACAAAATTTTATCTGAGTGACATGATAACATTTCTGAAAACTAGAATTCGGCCCTGTTAATCATAGTTCATTGACTTTCCCAAAGCACCTACTTCAAGTTATTGTGCAGCTGGCACAATCTGTTTGTTTTTTGTCTAGCACTTGAATTGAACCCAGGGCCTTTGGACTGAACTGTTTCCAGTGTGTGTGTGTGTGTGTGTGTGTGTGTGTGTGTGTGTATGTGTGTTCTGAGAATTCCTCAAATATATATTAAATATTTATTATACTTATTATATATTTTTATAATATATATTGTTTATATGTATTTTTGAGACATCTTTGCAAATGGCCCATTGCCTTTGTCTCAGCCTCCCAAAATGATGGGAGATTTCAGGCATATGCCACCAGTCTCAGGCACTTAATACATCTTTTTGGCTATTTTAGGTAAAATTCAACTAGTAATCCCTAATAAAAATTCTTAAAAGAAGAAAACATTCTTAATTTGATAAAAAAAATCTAATAGAAATCTAAACAGCATTGTTTTAATGTGAAGAACAAAGCCAAGCATAGTGGCACATGCCTTTGACCCTAGGGCTGGAGGAGACTGAACCAGGATTATCCCAATCTCGAGTGCAGCCCGAACTTTGACCTGTCATGGTGAGACATCCAACTCAACTTGGCCACTTAACTGTACTCCAGATAAAAAAAGAGGCTATGAGCTTTGCAGATGAATAATACAGCAGGACCTTAGCTCACAAATGCTTTGGGGCCCTAACAATTTGGTTTCTACAAAGAAGCATTTGGCAAAATTTCTTTTTGTTTGCAAACTGCGTCAGGTGACAAACACAACCATTGCCATCCTTGCCTCAAGCGTTCATCTTTTTCCAAAATTGTATAAATCAAATTCCACAGCACCCATAAAAATTGTAGAAATTGAGCAAACAGGTCCAATCTAGGAACAAGTGCCATGCACGGGCTGCTGCCAGACTGGAAATAGTCAAACCCAAGCCTCTCCTCATTCGTGGACTCGAGAGAGAGAACAAGGCCACACCAGGGAGTAAGCCCAGTCTGGGAAACAGTGTCATATGTGGACTGCCACCAGACTAGGAACGGCCAGAGCCAAGCCTCTCTCTATGAGTCAGTACCATTCATGAACTAGGGGGAGAGAGAACAAGGCCATACCAGCGAGCAAGCCCAGTCTGCGACTGGGCTGCAACACATGGACCCCAGTCAATTCTGGTGTGCAGGCTGGCAATCAAGAAGTACTTCTTCTACCGTGTAAGCAGCAGGTTACCCAGAGAAACACAGACTGTGATGATAACGGTGGAGGTGAAATGCAGTTGGATGCCTGTGGTGCTTTGGTCCATTTCACTAACATTGCAGGTCTAGGGCCAGTGGCCGGTGGTCTGATCACAGGTTCAGAGGATAGCAGTACACTGTGTGGCATCCCCAACCCTCCTTCTGAGGGTTGCAGCCATTGTTGACTCACAGTAGTCTTGTTTTGGAAATCCTATGTCATTCCCATTGTTTTGTTGTGTTGGGTTTTAGACTCTTTTGTTTATGTTAAATCTGATGGCAGGAGCAGCTATATCAAGGATAGCAAGATACGTTATGGTAACCATTTTGGATTTACTATTGGCTTGTTTTGAAGTCCTTTACTGCATTCATTGTTTTGTTTTTATTGTTTCTATTCTGTTCTGTTCTGTTTGATTTTTACTATGTTTGAAGTTATCTGTGGCTATTTTGAAGATATCAAAAGGCATTATGTAACTATTGTTGATTTTGTATTTTTTTAAAGTCCTGTATCTCTCACACTGGTTTGTTTTAATTGGTTTTATTGTTTTATCCTCTTTTTTAAAGAATTAAGGAGAGGACTAAGGCACAGCAAGCTGACTGGGGAAGTGGGTATTTCGTGTCAACCATAGAGTTGTGTGACACAAGTACAGAACATTTTTCAAAGCCCTGCACTTGGAACCAATCAGAGAGTGCTATCTTCAATTCTTCTCTTGAGAAATCAAGCACTTTTTTTTTTTTTTGTCTTTTTCCTTTTTATCAGTACCAGGGATCGAACTCACGACTGCCTGCTTGGAAGGCAGGCGCTTATGCCAATGAGCTAAATCCCCAGCCCCCAGAGAAATCAAGCATTTTTTTTGATAGGACAGTCAAGGTTGGAGAGCAGCCATTTTCCTCATGGCCACTGTGTCTCTTTCAGTGCAGTCTGTTCTCACCTTGTGGAATGTACTTCTTTTCCTACTTTTAACTAACCTGCACTCTGCAGAGCATGTTTCTGTTCCTACCTTTAATAAATTTAAAGGCCATGACATTTGTTCCTGTCTTGACCAATTCTTTCACAGGACAGAAGGAACCTAGAAAAAAATCTCTAAATGGGCTCCCCAGTACCTCAAAACCCAGTAATATTACCAGATTCAGAACTCAAACTATATAACAGCTGGAATAAAGTCAGGTAGTTCAGTATTAATACAGGAAAAGAGAGTTTGCTCAATAGGAAAGAGTCCTTCCAGGAAGCCTGAAGTAATTGTGATGCTTACCTCAATGAGACAGAAAATTATCAACAAAATGATCGCTACTCCTGTCACAGATACTGTCAAGATCAGTTTGTTCTTATAGCCGTATCCTGGAACTTCTACTTTGAGCTGAGAGACAGATAGATGAGACAGGGAGGGAGGAAAAAGAGGAAGGAGAGAGAGAAATTTTTGTTAAGTAACAAAGATGGGACAGATGAAAGCTGACTATTCAAATCAAATTCTTACAGGGGAGTAGTTTGCAAGGCGATAAAAACATACATGGTGGACCATGTTACAAATAGTATTATGAATGTTCCTTTCTAGTTTATCTTGTATGCCAGGTCATCTTCCTTCTCTCAAGGAGCAGGGTGGAGATCACCATCCTGACCACAGTTACGTGGCCAGGGCAAAGTACAGACATGGGGGCCCTTTTGTGCTTCACAGCAGACCCTCATGTTGGGCAGCTGACCTCACCTCCCTTGACTGCTGCTCCTTCTCTTCATTCTGGTCTTCTGCGCTCTCAATGATGTAATTCTCATTTTTCCCATGCTCTGTATCCCTCTGGGCCTTGGACACCTTGGCTTTTTGCTGCTCACTGAACAGCTTCATCAGGAGGCCTGTCTTGGAGATGAGCTTGGCACAGGCCACCTGCACGTGGGTCTCAGAGCAGTCCATCTTTAAACTCCTGATAACACGAGAAATCAGCCTTCTGATGTCATTATTGGGGATGAGGGACCAGAGTTGCTGATTTACGTAAATCTCAAACTGATCACGTGAGGATGATAGCGACAGGGAGGTGAAGTCTTTGAGCGGTGAGTCAGTGCCCATGTTGGGGTGTTCCCAAAGTGCCTTTGTTGAGTGGTTCACAGCTGGTATTAGGTTGAATGCAGTCACGGCAGAGTATGCAGCAGAATGATTCTTGTGAGTTGTATCTTTGGAGATAGTTTCTTCTGGCACACTAATGCCTAATGCAAAATCTGCTCCTTTGGAAGTATCTGCTGCAGTATGGTTTTCTACAGGGGTGCTTTCTACAGAAAGTTCTGAAGGAGCATATAATTCTGAAACAGGAGTCTCCTGAAAACTGGGCTCTCCTGAAGATGAGAAGAATCGTCCTGATGGGAAACTGATGAGAGTCCTCACTGCTGAGAATTGAGGCCTCTTTACAAGTGGTAGTTTACTGCGTGTGTTTTTCTTTCTCAACTTGTCACTCAGCTTGACCTCGCGTGTTCCCCGGACCACGAGAGAATGAGTTTTGGGAAAGTGGTGAGGGTTTCCAGGATGTAAGACTGGTTTTGTACCCTCTGTGGTTTTAACTCTAGCATTTGCATTTTGTAAATCCAAAATGTAGTTGAAAACATTTGTTCTCTTTCTCACCTTGGGCAGGGCTTTGGCAGGGATGGAAGAAGGAGATCTGTCCATGGAGGGATGTTTTAGGAAAGAAGAAGCTGTTACTTTTTGTTCGTCTGTGAAGGAGGGCTCTATGCGCAAAGAGTTTTCCACGAACTTCCTGGGTCTTGGCATCCTCTGATGCTGCCCCACCTCCTGTGGGATGGATCTCCTTAGGCTTCCCTCTTTGGTGACATCTTCTAAGAATGGCTGGGTAGCCCCCTTAACCCCGGCTTTCTGTTTCCTTTCTTCCTTGAAAACACTTTGCTGTGGATGCTTCAGCTCCTTGAGAAGGGTCTTCGAGCTTGGAAACATTTTCCTTTCACCCTCCACCTCTGCCAGGCTGTTTTCCTGTGTTTCAGGACTTTCCAGTTTGTTTGCAAAAATTTGGTGTCTGAATTGGGGATCTAAAGTCCTAGATGGCATAAGCGTGGCAGTTTTCTCTTTCTTTTTTGTGTCATCTAATATTTCCTGAATTTTTGCATTTAACAACTTTTGGAGAAACTGTAACGTCTTCAGTTTATCTTTGAGACTCAAATTGCCAGATGCAAGTTGAGCAGAGGAGTTTCTCGTACTGTTTTCCAAATAAGCCAAGGGATTATTTCCATTTTGTGTATTTGAAAAAAGGAGATGAATGAATGGTAATATTGTTTTCTCTATGTCTTCTAGATTTCCCTCTAGGAAGTATGGCAGTGTGAAACTAGCTGTGTGAGTAATATCATTTTCATCATTAGTGTCTAGCTGCTTTTTCACAAGGCCTGACAAGTGCAAACCGCTCTTTTTTGCAGATGCCTTTTCTGGCTTGATAGTGAGCATAGTGTTGGTGTTCATGTTTCGGGCTTGTAACCCCTTCATCAAGGCTTCTTCAAGGTTCCCTATGGTGGCTTGTCCCACTGTCAGAAAAAAAGAAAAAAAGAGACTGCTCTCAATCAAGGGAGACTGAATAGCCAGCTTTTTGTCAGCCCACAGCTAATCATGCCAATCAAAGTTAGCAGTCAGTATTTCAGTACCATTTGGAAGAGGCAAAAAAGAAACCCAAACTTAAAACTATGAAACATGTAACAGGAAAGTAAAGAAAAAAAATGAAAGATTTATGAGATCTGATGAGAAAACAAGAGTGATTTTAACCAACTCAGACAAACGACTTCTATCTAGAATTTACACCCAATCCAAAAAATGGGCATCTAAGATGAACGCACGCTTCTCAAATGAAGAAGAGCAAATGGTAAATAAATATATATAGAAATGTCCAACATCACTGGTCATTCAAGAAATGCAAATTAAAATAACACTGAGATTCCATCTCCCTCCAGAAAGAATGGCTCTGAATATCCAGAGGTCAACCAATGACAAATGCTGGAAGGGTTGTGGGGAAAAAGGAACACTTCTCCACTGCTTGTAGGAGTGCAGGATTGGTTCAGCTCCTGCTGAAGTCAGTGTGGGAATTCCTCAAAAACCTAGGTTTGGAGGTCCCACTCGATCCAGCTATTCTCCTTCTGAGTATTTTCCCAGAAGAACTGAAGACATCACACCACAGCAATATACATGTGCCCATGTTTATAGCAGCTCAATTTGTAATATAGCTAAATTTTGGAAACAACCCAAATGCCCATCAACCACTGAATGGATAAAACATATGGGGTATTTTTTTTTACAATGGAATACTACCCAGCTATGAAGAAAGACAAACTTGAGCCTTTTATAGGTAAATGAATGCAACTAGAGGCTATAATCATAAGTGAAGTAAATCAGGCTCACATGTGTATAAACTCTGCATTGTCTCCTCAGTGTAAAAAGCTGAAAGACTTAATAAGACCCAAAATGTATGCTACATACTGTGAAAGTGAAAGAGGATAAAACTGCTCAAAAAGAAAGGACACCTGATATGGGGCAAGGAGAATAAAGAAGGGAAAATATATATATTAGATAGTTATACTACTAATCTCTGTTCCTCAAAAAAAAAAACAGTTTGCACTTTCATTGTTTGATCATTTTTCATACCTATATCTTGTAATCTGAGTATCTACTTTGAAGATAACAATACAGAATATAGTAGCCATTCTTACTCTCTGGTTACATTGATTTGAAACTCTGTACCATCGTTTTTAGTCTTTTGTTTGTTTTAAAATAAATTTTTTTTAAAAAGCAAGAGAAAAAGAACTCTCTTGCTACCATTGACTACCTACTCAGAACATTCCATAGTGTAGGAACTTAACTTAGGACAGCCAAATAAGCGATACTTAATAAAAGGCCAAATGCTGGCCAATACTTCCCCACTCAGCAGCCCTCTCTGCAGCCCTTCTATGCCCGCTCAGATTCTGTATACCATAACATCACTCTGCAGGTGCAGAGGGAGCGCAAGAATTCCTCGCTCCGCCTCTTCCGTGTGTCGTGTTCTTGCTACTGTCACAGATGACCACGAGGAAGGACAGTCCTGTGACAGTGAGCCAAACTGCCAAGGCAGAGGCCCCACTCCTTCTGCTTCCAGGTCCTCCTCTGGGTATGTTCTCTCCACCTCTTCACCACATACCTTCACTTGGCCCTGCTCTCATATGTCCTAGCTCCATAACAAAAGACTACCAGAACCAAATACTGTCCTGCTCTGGTTCTTCCTTAAATTGGGGCAGGGACCTGGGGGGTAGGTTCAAAGACTTTTAATTTGCTTGGTTGTATGCCTGTGTGGAGTAATGCACAACACATTTTCAGAATAATAGCAATTTCTGGACAAACATGATTTAAGGTCTTAATGTACAAGGGAGTAAAACCTGTTTCTATCAGATGCCTGCCTTACCTTCACTTCTGTTCTAATATTTCTAAGCATCTGAAGCTACTGATGATATGAAAGTCATGGACTTGTAACCTGTTTTCTCTTCCAGAAGAATTAAGTGACTGTGGTGGTGGTGAGGGCCAGAGGAGGAGTTAAGATCATGACCACAGAGGAACATGGGCTTCTGGAGAACCCAGAATTGGGGACAGAGGGCTGGCATGAGGCTCTAGCACATGACATCTCTAATCTTGCTTTCCTTGTCTATAAACAGAGTTAAGAAATTCTTCCTTTGCTTATATTTCTAGGGAAGGAAGGAGTAATATTGTAAGTAAAAAATTATTTTTAAAAGGCAAGCAACATTGCCTTTTCAGAAAGAGCAAAGTGCCATTATTCATGATTTGTCCCAGATCACTGGTAGACATCTGTATTCAAGCTCTCTGGATGTGAAAGCTGTCACATGTTGCAAGCATGAAGCAAGAGCTAATAAACCCGACATACAGAAAAATCCTTAAATGCACCTGAGTCACATGAGACCCAGGAAGAGCACAGTGTTGGATAGTCTGGGCATGGAGGAACCCTGCATTCCCTTAGAAGAGATAGGAAGCAGTTTCTGGTTTTGCAATTAGAAACTCCTGGGCCTTAAACAAAATACTCTTTTACACAATTGCAAAAACAAGACAAAAGTGATCTCCACCTGCCCCAAGGTTGAGGAAACTTGAGCCCCTGAGTACATAAATCAGCTTACAAACTGCATTTCACTTTATGAATTAAGTTTTCACGGGAAGGCAAAGCACCAGACAGCAAGCACTGTGCATGGTGTGCAGCCAAGCATGGTGTGCCCTCCCCTTCCAGCCCTTCCTCTGAGTCCTTTGAATATGGAACAGTTTTGTTATTGCAACATGCAGTACTAACTGAGAACCTGTCTGCAGGGGACCACTTCAAAACTTTATCAGGCTTAACTCTGATGAATGAATAAGTGTAAAACAGTTATATCATTATTTTACAATCTTATCATCACCATTTAAAATTTAAAAGCAAAATATAAGTAAAAATATCATCAGGCATAGACTCACCACACAGAGTCGTGTTAACCACACATGTTCTGTCACAATGCAGCTTGACAGTCTTCCCGACAACCTCAATATCATTTTTAAACTGGCAGAGGCAGCAGACCATATTGCTCGGTAAGATTCTGCAGACAGGACACAGAGATCTGAATTAATGGAAACCGGCCCCTTGAATGGTAAAGAGGCAGGATGAGGCTCCACAGGGTGGTGCAGGAAGGAGTGCTGGAGGCAGCCTGTGCAGCTGGGTAGGAAGCCAACAGCCACTGCAGCTTTTGAATATTGTGAGTAAATAGGAGGGAGAGAGGGGTCCCTACAGAAGGGTAAGCTCAGCAGTGTGTGTGGTGGATCTGACGTGATGGTACTAGAAATTAGTGCTGAGTGACAGGAATGTGTTCCTTCATCCAGAAGCATCTCTTTCAACCTTAAAGTCTCACTCAGGGTTGGGAGTGTACAAGAAGGATGTTGACTTCGAAAGAGTCTAAAAGGGTATCAAAGACCTCAATATTGAAAAATACAGTACTCTGGAAGAGCAGAATGAAAAGAATGTTCAAAATGGAGAGCTATCCCAGTGTCTTGGGTTGGAAGAACTGATATAATGAAAATGGCCATACTTCCAAAGCAATTATGCAGATTCAATGCAATCCCAATCAAAATTGCAGTAGCATATCTCACAGAATTAAAGAAAACAATCCTAAAATTCATCTAGAACCAGAGGAGACTAGAGTAACAAGGCAATCCTAGGTAACAAAGGTAAGGCAGGAGGAATTACAATCTCTGACTTGAAATTATATTATAAAGCTAATGTGATAAAACCAGCATGGTACTGGCAAAAAACAGACCTGAAGATCAATGGAATTGGAATAGAACATGCAGAAACAACTCCAGATACACTAAGCCACCTTGTCTTTAACAAAGGTGCCAAAGAAATTCACTGAAAGAAAGCCCCTTTAATAAATTGTTCTAGAAAAACTAGCTCTACACCTCCTAAAGAGTAAAACTGGAACCATATCTTTTACCATATACTAAGTCTAAATCAGAATGGATCAAAGATCTTAATATTAAAACAAACAATAAATCTTCTGGAAGACAGAAGTAGTAAAACTCTTGAAGACATTTGTATAGGCAGAGACTTCATGAACAAAACCCAAATCGCACAGGAACTATCACAAAGAATCAACAAGTGGGATCTCATCTTATTGAAAAGCTTATGCACAGCAAGGAAAACCACCAACACAGTGAAGAGATAACCTGCAATGTGGGAAAAAAATGTTTTCCAACTGTTCCCCAGATAAAAGATTACTGTTGAGAACCTATAAAAGAACTTAAAAAAAAATCCTCCCAGATTTGAAGACCCAATCGAAAAATGAGCATTTGAGATGAACACACACTTCTCGGATGAAGAAATATGAATGGCAAATAAACATAAAAAAATGCTCAGCCAGGGATTTAGCTCAGCAGTGTAAGTACCTGTCGGGCAAGAGCGAGATAGTAAGCTCTATCACCAGTACAAAAAGAAAAAAGAAAGAAAGAAATGTTAGCAGCATCACTGGCTATTTGAGAGGTGCAAATTGAAACAACACTGAGATTACACCTTACCCCTGAAAAAATGGCTAGTATCAAGAAATCAAGCAATAACAAATGCTGGAGGGGCTCTGGAGGAAAAGGAACCCTTCTCCACTTTGGTGTAGACTGGTGCAAACACTGTGGAAATCAGTGTGGAGGTTCCTCAAAAAAAAAGAAAAGAAAAGAAAAGAAAAAACCACAAAAAAACCCCTCTTGAATTGGAGCTCCCATTCAACCCAACAAATCCCCTTCTGGGTAACATCCCAGAAGAACTGAAAACATCATACCACAGTGATATACGTGTAGCTATGTATACAAGAACACATTTATAACAGCAAAATCTTGGAAACAATGCAAATGCTTATCAGCCAAGGAATGAGTTAAAAAGATGTGCTGTTTTTATACAATTGAACACTATTCAGTCATAAGGAAAGATAAACTGGAGACTTTTATTGGTAAATGTATGCAGCTTGAGACCCTGCATGTAAATGAAGTAAATCAGATCAACATCACATTGGTGTAAACATCACATTGTATTTCTGGTGTGAGAAACAAAGAGTAAATAAGGACCACAATGTGCAATACATGTTGTGAAATGAGAAGAAGTGATTTGAAAGGAAAGAGGAGCCACGTTGGGGGCAGAGGGAAAGGAAGGTAGGGAAAAGAAAAAAATATATATATAAGATAGTTATACTACTAGTTTCTCGTAGTTCACTGAAAAGAAACTGCCATGCTAATATCATTTTGGAGAATTTGTTATGCCTATATCTAGTATTCTGAATAACTACTTTGAAGAAAACAATACACAATATATTAACTTTTAATATTCTATTATTTTGTTATAAAATTTAGTTTTTTAAAAAAGAAATCAGACACACAAGCTTAATATCACATTGCTTTCCTCATATGTGAAACTGAGTTAAAAGAAAGAGCAAAATAAGTGATAGATAATAGGAGAGACAGATTGTTCTCAGAGGGGAAGGCGGTCAAGAAATGGGGGGTAAGGGATGATGCAAAGAAATTGGGATGTGTTCCATACACGCACCAAGTCCGTACAAAAGTGCGAGCATTATGTACAAATGCGTAACAAAAAAATAAGGGGGACCAAGAGATGAAAGGGTGAAAGGGGCAGGGAGGGAAGAGAAAGAGGTTGAGAAAGAAATTGAGATGTATTGTGCACTTCCCCTCCTCCTGTACGTGATGGAATCACTAATGGAATACACAGCTACCCTAATAAACCAAAATAATTTCCTTAAAAATCTAACCAAAATACCTTAGTCAAATAAATTTAAGGAAAACAAAACTAACTCACAGTGTTTTCAGTCCTAGAGCCATTGTGATTATATTCTCAAGCGATATAAGTGGGAAATGTGTTTGTCCCAAGTCTCTGAAAAAGAAAGCTCAGTCAGTCATGAGGAATCCCAACACATACTCTGTACTTACACAGGTATTTCAACAAAGTGTGGTTAATTCAATTGTCCCCGTTAACAAGCCAGCACATGAGTTTATCACAAAATATAATCCCAGAGTTTTTTCATGAAAAAGTTCAACTTTAATATTTGCACTATCAAATTGATGACTAACGTTCCATAGTAGAGCCTATACCTTTTTGAAATCATCATCTTACTTTTCAATTTTATATTGTAGTCACCTTTATGTGTGTTTTTTATTTTTAGTAACATATCACTATGCTTTCTGAGGTAAATGATGGGTCTGCCTCGTTTATACGTTTCATTTCTGTGTTCCTCAACAGTGCTCTCTACCCCTGCTAGCTCCCTTACCCATTAGATATCTTAATTATTTTCTTTCCAATAACTTTTTTTCAATAGCTGCATTAAAATTCAAATTAAACTTAAAATTATAACTTTCAGAATCAAGATACAATACTTAACCACTGATGAAAGGAAGCAAGAAGAACAGAAGTTATATTACATTTACACAATTATTGGAATAGAATACTTACAAATATTTTAATCCTGGTAATTGAAAAAGAGATGAATCCTCAATGGCTGACAGAGGATTATGATTGAGAATTCTGAAAGGCACAATGGAATTAAAATTTTACGATGCCTGAGGTTACATGAAAAGGTGTTTGTTTTTGGTATAGAACTTACATGTTAAAAAAGCATTTTCTGTGACTACACGTGTAATAACCGTTAGAATTCAGAAAGCATTCTTTCTTTGGGGGTCAAGTAGGTCTCTAAAAGATAAGGTGGAAATGAGAAAGAGGGAGGCAAAAATATTGAATAGCATGGCTAAAAAAGGAAAAATATGTGAAAGAACAAAAACCCTAAAATTGACTGCTCTGATGAGCAATCTTCACCCTACAGGAAATTCTATAGTTAAAATCTTTCATAACTCAAGTGGTTTGCCTTTCATCTTTATAAATTTAAATAAAATCATGGTCTAATTCACTGAGAAAAAAAAAATGTGCTAGGCATGTTGGTACACACTGTAACCCCAGCACTCAGGAGGCTGAGACATGAACATTGAGGCCAGCCTGGGCTACACAGTGAATTCAAGATCAGCTGAAACTACATAGTGAAACCCTGTCTCAACAACAACGACAAAAAAGGCAGTTATGTGGGGAGGGATGCAATTCCTTGGTTTAGAGTCAAAGAAAAAAAGTTTTAAACATCTCAAGAGGTGAGTCTTAGTAACTTTTCTTCATGAAGGAGACCATATCTGACAGCCGCACATGGAAGGAAAAAGCCTTTATTTTGGCTCACGTTTCAGGGCATCACCAGCTCCAAGGCAGGAAAGCCTGGTGGAAGGGCCTGCGTGGAGGAGAGACACTCACAGCCCAGCAATCATGAAGCACAGAGTGAAGGGAAGAGGCAGGGAGGAAGATAACCCATCCACACCACACCCCTGTGACCCACTTCTTCTGAGCCCCACCTCACCTATAACACCCCCATCATCCAATCACCTCCCAAAGCTCCACCTAGGACTGAGGGAGGCTTTGGGGGGACATTTTGATAAAAACTGTAACAAGGGGGAGGTAATTAAAGTCATATTTGCTCTATTACTCCCATCTGTTTTCCTGTATCATGTTAATGCCTGGTATAGTGCCTAAAATTTACTAGGTTTTTAATAAATGTTCACTGAATATATAAAATTCTCTTTTCATATCAATGAAACGAATACATTCACACATGCATGCTCGCATGCACACATCCCTTTTAAGAGATATAATCTTGCCTAGACTAGCATCAAACTCCTAGGATCAAGCCCTGTTGCAACCTCAGGCTCCTGTGCGGTGGAGACTACAAACACAGGTATTGAACCCAGAGCCCTTGCACTAAGCTGTATCCCTAGCCATTCTTACATTTATTTTCAGAAAAATTCTCTCTAAATTAATAATTTTCCCAGGCTGGGCTCAGACATGTAATACTTCTGCCTTAACCTGGCAGGTGCTAGGATTACAGGCAATTACCACTGTGCCTGGCTACATTCATCGTGACGCAAATTTTTACTTCAGAATGCTGGAATGTAATTTTTTTCAATTCTTTACAGTAAGCAAACAACAACAAAAGAAATATAAGAAAAATCTATGTTGAGGTTAAATCTACTCAGGAAACATAAGTTATTATACTTCTACAGAATATTTTAAGAATAGTAATTATTAGTAACAGTAGTTACGCTCAACATTTTATACTGAAGCCTAATAGTAATCCTAAGTGGTGGATATTAAAATTACCCCCACTTTATAAGTGAGGAAACTGAGGCCCAGAGAGGTTATCTAACTTATCCTGAGTTGCCAGCTCCTTCTTTTGAGCCAGTGGCAGCCATATGGGCCACTGGGAGGAGAAAGAAGTCAGCCTCTTCTTATGAGCCTGGGGCAGTCCTGCGGGCTGGGAGACAAAAAGAGCTGAGTCCCTCTCCACCTCTGTAAGCAATCAGCTGATCCAGAGAAACACAGGCTGAGATCATAGCTACAACAGGAAGAAGTCTGGCAAATTCATAAATATAGAAATGACACACATATAGGCAAATAAGGAGTCAAAAAGAAATCACAAGGGAAATCAGGAAATACTTCAACATCAATGCAAATGAAGTCATATACCACCAACACTTAGGACCTGATTAGAGCATTGTGCAGAGGGAAAGATATACACCTAGATGCAAGTATTAAAAATTCTCATCAATAATGTAAAATTCTCCTGAATAAAGTAGGAAAAAGAACAGTAACTTAAGCCCAAGACAGAGGAAAATAATAAAGAGTAAAACAGAAAAAAGTGAAATAAAAAATCCAAAACAATAGAGAAAAACAACGTAACCAAATCCCTAACCATATATAAAAACTGATACAAAATATAGCAAAAATCTAATGTAAGGGCTTAAACTATAAAACTCTTAGAAAAAAATATAAGAGCAAATGTTGGTAACTGTATTAGGCCACAATTTCTTATGTATGATACAAAGAGTTTAACTACAGGGAAAATAGATAAACAAGATTTTATAAAAGTTAAAATTTTGTGCTTCAATTTGGCTCAGTGATGCATGCCTATCTCCAAAAAAATCTACAAATAGCTGGGTGTAGTGGTTCCTGGCTGTAACCTTAGTACTCTGGGAAATAGGAAGATTGAACGTTAGATCCCAGCCTGAGCAGCTTGGCAACTTAAGGAGATCCTAATAGAGAAAGGGCTGGGGATGTAGCTCAATGCAGAGGCCCAAGGATCGACCCCCAGTTTTACACAAAACAAAGGCAAACTGCAAAATGTTTGTGTGTCAGAGGACACCAGTAAAATGATAAAAAGTCAGCCACCAGTAGAACAGGAGAAAATGTTTATAAATCATATGTCTGACAAAGGCCTAGTACACAGAATATCCAGAATGTATAAAGAAACTTTACAAGTCAGTAAAAAGATACATAAGGATAAAATGGGGAGAGAATTTGAAACTATTATTCAAAAAAGGTACATGGCCTTGTGATGCAATGAACAGCTACTTTGAAGAAAATAAAACATAATATAGCTAGTGCTGATTTAATACCATCTTGTCTTAAAGCCGCACCAAACTATGGCTCTTCTGTCTCCATTGATTTTATCATGTTGTAATTTGCTGTATTTTATCGTATGTGGTAATATAAACAAAAATTGTTATAGGCAAAGAGATAATATAGAAACCATTGATCATTTTTTTCTGTAGGCTGGTTCTAAATACTCTACAATGCTTTCATCCATTTGAATGGTGTTACACAGTCTTGATATGTTTGATGCTATAGCATATGAAGTTATATTCAAATATTTCATAGAAAGAGACACTATGGTAACTACTATTAAGTCGGGTTATTTGGTGGTGAAGCACTAGGTTGCTAAAAGTGTTATGCTTTAACCTGTATTGTTATGTTGTTATGCCCCCTTTTATCTCATCCTCTCCCTTAAAGAGAAAGGATAGAAGGGAAAAGAAAAAAATGCAAGTTGGTTATACCATTAGTGTCACTTAGTTCACTGAATAGGAAAGGTTGTGCTAATATTGATTCTGAAACATAACATACTGGGTGGTTGGGGAGGGAACTGATTGGCAGCAGGTTCTGAGGAATTCTTTCTGCTTTTCCACTGAGGAGGTTCTGGGACTCAGCACCTGTACCTTTTGTTCTTTGGAGAACAGAGCATTAAACATAGTTCTTTGAAGCTCTGTATTGCATACATTGTAACAGAACTCTGCATGTGAGAAGGAATCAGAGTTAAACTCAAAAGTGGAATTTCAAGAACCATTCACTTGTCAGAACCATACCTCTTAGCTCTCTGCAGTACTAATTTGAGTGTTACTTGGGCAGTACCTGCAACACCTCATACTGCTCATGCCAAATATCAGTACCCGGAAATACAGAGCAGGCTGCCCGGAAGTTGCACAAGTCAACCCGCACATGGTCGCACATGCTTATAACCCCACCGCTCAAGAGGTTGAAGCAGGACAAATAAGTTTGAGGCCAGCATGGGCTCTCAGTGAGTACATGGCCGGCCTGGACTACATAGTAAGAACCTGTCACCAAGAAAAGTTATCTCTTAGCCTCTTTGTTCCCTAGTTTCCTCATTTGAAAATAAGGAACAGAGTCTTTGGCCCTACCTCTCTGAACATACTCGATCTCACCTGACAGGAGTCAGTGAATCTTAAGACATACTTCTCAGGGTTCGTGCAGGACTCAGACCCAGCTAACCAATAACACATCGATTTGTTTTTTACAGTTTTTGTTTTGATTATTTTTACATGTGTTTGCCATTCATTTTACTTACATGTGGTGTAAAAACTGCATTCCATGCCATGTTTGAAATGTTCCAAAATCCAGTTCTATTAGTAAATTGCAACGAAGATTTCTACAAAAATGCATAAGCCAAAGAAGAAAGATATTAATTCTGGAGATTAATCACTTGGCGATGATTTCAATTTATACAGTACATGGTGAAACAAAATATCAATATTTTTTCCACCTACTAAAAAAATCTCACGGGAAGATGCTGGCTTCTAATTTAAACTTTCATATTTACACTTGAAATGCACTAAATACGTAAGAGTGAATGCTTAATAAGTACTTGTCTTAAGTTATCTCCATTACTCTAGAACAGAATTTCACAGCTGCAGCACTAGTGACCTTTTGAGCTGGACAATTATTTGTTGTGGTGTCTTATTGGGCACTATAGGATGGTTATCAGAATTAGAGGTCAATAGTAATAGCCACAGTTTCCAAATATCACTTGGGTGCAAATTCACACCAATTGAAGGTCACTGCTCTTTAATGTCTGTCTGACCTGTGAGATAATCCTTATACTAATCTTTGGTAGAGATTAAAACAATTTCAAACTGAGTAACAACAAGGTTTATAAAATTGCATATATTATGAGGTTGTATTTGTAACTTACATGAACTTCAAAAACATTAATGGTTCAAATGTGCGTCTTTCAATAGATTGTATTTTATTGCAGGATACATCTCTAGAAAAAGTAAGAGGAAAATGTTGCCTTGAGTAGCTATTAGATATCTAATAAGTCTGAATTAATGCTAGACTTTAGAATTTATCAAACTGAAAACATATTTTTGTCTAAATCATTATATTCATGTTTGATATTCTGGACCCCAGCCCTGTTTATATTTCCTCTAAGAGGATCACCTTTATGATCTTCATAAATAAAATATACAACTATAGATTGTTTTTCCTTTTCCTTTTACAGCACTTAAAAATATGAAAACTACTATTACCTTATGAGCTGAATAAAATGAAGAGTATGAATCAATTTGATCCATGGATCGGGGGTAAATATAAGTACAAGCCAATGGCACCCAAACACTAATAAAACAAGGCCCGTGTTAGCATGAGTAAATGCACAGTCTTATTACCACTTTTCCTCTGTAAGTGGGATTTTTCTCATTGATGATAGACACAGACTGAAACCTACACAGATTCACATAATCGCACAATTTTATCACTGGAAGGGATTTTGAAGAATGTCTGCTTTGAACTCTCTCCTCATTTTATAGATAACTTCAAACTCAAATAATATGACTAACTGGCAGCTATTTCAAAGACAGCAGGACATATTAGGGTAGCCATTGTGGATTTACTATAGGCTTGTTTTGAAGTCCTTTCTTGCCTTCACGGTTTTGTTTTGATTGTTTCTATTCTATTCTGTCCTGTTTAATTTTTACTATATGTCTGAAGTTATCTGCAGCTGTTGTGAAGACAACAAAGGCATTATGGTAACTATTGTTGATTTTGTAATGTTTTGAAGTCCTGTATCTTTTACACTGGTTTGTTTTGACTGGTTTTATTCTATTTTACCCTCTTTAAAATAAAAAAAAAAATATAGAGACAACTAAATATGTTTAACTTACAAATATCGGAGGGACGACAGGCCTTCAAATGAATTCTTACGTAGTTCAGTGATGTAGTTTTGGCTGAGATTTCTGGAAGATGAAAAGGTGTTTCTGAATCAACATCCTCAGAAACAAAGAATATGCCGCAGTGACAAAGGGTGAGAAAATGAGCACTGTGAGCTCCTGCTGCCTGGAGCGTGTTGGCACAGCATTTCTCAGAGCAACTAAAGTTTCATGTCTAACACAGTCTTCACACCGACAATCCCTTTTCTAGGTGTCTGTTCTACAGAAATACTTGCCCATGTTCACAAAGAGGCCTGAGCAAGGACGTGCATGGAATGATACAGGTAACAAGAAAGCTGGAGAGACCTCCCTCAATAAAAGACCCAACCAAAAAATGGGCAACTAATAGGAACAGACATGTCTCAGAAGAGAAGTCAAAACAGTCAATAAATTCTTGAAAACATTGTTCACCATCTCTGGCCATTAGAGAAATGCAAATCAAAACAACACAGAGATTCTATGGCCATAATCAAGAAATTGGACAAGAGCAAATACTGGTAAGGCTGCAGGGAAAAAGAAACCTTCCTATATTGTTGGTGAGAATGTCGACTAGTCCAGTCACTGATATGGAGACTGTGATATGCAGATTCCATCAAAAGAATAAAAGTAGAAATTTCATTTGACCCAGCTTTTCCCCTTCTCAAGAGTTAGAGAGCAAATTACAATGACCCATGCAAACCGATGTTTATAGCAGCACATTCATAATAGCTGAATATTGGAAGCAGCCTGTATGTCTGTCTACAGATGAAAGGATAAAGAGAATATGGTGTTTAATCACAAGGGAGCACTTCGCTGCCATGAAGAAGGTTGTACTGGAGTTACGTGTAGGAAAATGGATTCAGCTTGAGACCATAGTGCTGAGTGAAATAGATCAGAAACCCAAGCTTAAGCATCACATGGTTTCTCTTATGTGAGAAATGCAAATATAAATAAAAAATAAAAGACAAATAATAGTAAATAGGGAAACAGATTGTTCTTGGAGGGGAAGGAATCAAGAGATGGGGGGGACAGGTAGAGAGGGAAGGGAAAGCAAGTGGAAAAAGGATCTAAGATGTATTATGTGCATGTACCAGGTTCCCACAAGGAACATAAATAGTATGTACTACAAGCATATACAAACAAGAAAAGATCAAGAATTGGCAAAGAAGGGGGGGGGGAAGAGGATGAAAAAATGGGATGGAGATAAATTATGTACATATACCAAGTCCCCAAAAGGAATGCACACGTTATGTACTATGAACATGCACTAATAAATAAATCACTAATATGTGATTTTTATGCACAATGGAGTACTACTCTACACCAATAAAGAAGGATAAGCTTGAGTCAGAAAGCGGGTGCACCTGAGACCAGAACGGTTAAAAACAATACGTCAATCAGACACCAAAGCTTGAATACTGCACGATTTCTATGAGAAACCCAAAATATAAATAGAGAGAAAAATAATAAGAAAGAGGGAGATAGATATTGCTATGGTTTGTGTCTAGATGTTCCCCCTAAAGCCTAATGCAGTCATGCGGGTTATTTATTTACTTATTTTTGAGGTATCTGAATCTAGTCTAGAGTGTGTGATTAATTCATAGTACGGTGCTGGGATTAAAGGTGTGAGTGCTAAGGCTGCCCTAAATGAGGGAGCCTGCATACAGTGTAAGGGACAGGAAGAGGCTTGTCCTCTCTCCCTCCCGGTGGCTGCTTTTTCTGTCTTCTCCCACTATGAATGGTTGCCCCTCCGCCACGTGTCATGCTGCTTTGGAGGCAGCCAATTATGGAATGAAACATCTGAAACTGTTTGTAATGAAGCCTCTTCCCTCCTTAACTTTGGGTGCTGGTATTTAATCTCCTAACAGAAAAGTAAGGTAGTTCTTTTGCAAAAGGGAAGAGGATCCAGACAGGATGGAGGGAGGTGGGAGGGGAGGAAGAAGAGGCGCGAATGGAAAAAGAAAGAAAATACATTATGTGCATATGCCAGCTCCCCGTGAGGAATTAGTCATGTACTAATAAAAAATAAAACTTGGGACAAAGAAAACTGGACATACCCTAAGCATCCATATAAAGAGGGAAATTATTAAGCACTGATGTGTACATACTGTGGAATGTTATGTAGGAACTTTAAAAAAAGGACAACCCTCTATGTTTGGGTAACAAAATAACCTTGAGGTATCAAACGTAGAATTGCAGGATATTACAACTGATGTAAAGAAAGATGACGGTCGAGGCTTCAGGAAGATGGACTGGCAAGCAGCAGCAAATCAACCTCTCTAAGATTTGGTGTCCATACACTGGAATATGGCAATGTGGGGGGAGAGAAGAAGGAAGACTTTAAAGTATTAGTGGTTGATATGATACACAGAATGGAAGATCCCAACAACTCCAAAAGACTCCTAGATTTAGTGATGAAATTCAGTAACATAGGATATAGAGTCCACATTCAAAAATCAGTATCATTCCTGTACACAAACAACAAACTCACTGGAAGAGGAATTAGGGAAAGCTTTCACACCTTTCATAGCAGTATCCAAAAAACTGAAATACTTCCGAATCAATCTCACAAAAGAAGCAAAAGATCTTTACATGGAAAACTAGAGTACTCTGAAAAAGATAAAAAGGAAAATCTGAAAATGAAAAGATATTCCTTGTTCGTGGGAAGGAACAACCATTATAGTTAAAATGACCATACTTCCAAAATTGTTATAAAGATGTAATGCAATCCCAAAACACCAGTAGCAGGCAAACGTGGTGGCACTTACCTGTAATCCCAGCACCAGGGAGGCTGAGGGAGGAGGACTGCCACAATTTTGAGGCCAGACTGGGTTACATAGTGAGTTCAAGGCCAGCCTGAACTACTTAGAAAGACTCTGTCTCAAAAAAATAAAACAAAAACAAAACACAGTAACATATGTCAAAGAACTAGAGAAAACAATCCTAAAATTAATTTGGAAGCAGAAGAGACCTAAAATAGCAAAAGCAATTCTGGGCACAAAGACAATGCAGAGGGACACACAGACCCTGATGTGAAATTATATTATAGCCACGCATGCTAGTGCATCCCCATAATGCCAGTATTTAGGAGGCGAAGGCAAAAGGTTCATTTGAGTTGGGGACCAACCTGGGTCCTTGCTATATGCACAGCATATAGCAAGTTTGAGGTCAGCGTGGACTACATAGTGAGGCCTTGCCTCAAAAATAAATACCAAAAAAAGGTACACTACAAAACTACCATGATAAAAACAGCAAGGTACTAGTAGAGAAAAACACACATGAGGATCCATGGAACAGATTAGAAGATGCAGAAACAACTCCAGACACATTCTGTTATCCTCTGTTTGACAAAGGACCAAAAACCCTCCGGGGAAAAAGGTAGCCTATTTAATAAATGAAGTTGGAAAAACTGGCTTTCTGCATGCCAGAGATTAAAACTAGCCCCATATCATTCACCACACACTAAACTAAAATCAATATAAAGCAAAGATCTAAATATTAAAATGAGATCACTAAATCTATTGGAAGGTAAATAGGTTTAACTCTTGGAGATACAGGTGTAGGCAGACTTTATGTATAAAACCAAAGAAATATCACAAAGAATTAACAACTGGGATTACCCCTTATTAAAAAACTTTCACAGGCCAGGTTTGGAGGTGCATTTCTGTAATCTTAGCATTCAGAAAGCTGAGACAGAAGGTTCCTCATGAGTTCAAGGCCACCCTGGACTACATAACTGAATCCAAGGCCAGCCTGCACCACCTAGCAAGTCCCTGCCTTAAAAACAAACAAACAAAGCTTTTATACAACAAAAGAAACCACAGAGAGAGGCCCCAAAGAGTAGGAAAAACAATTTTGCCAAACAAAAAGAGTACTATTTCAAACAAAAGAGTAATATCTAGACTACGTAAAGCACTCAAAAAAAAATCAGACCCTCAATTTTTTTTTTTTTTTTTTTGGTTTGGTACCGGGGATGGAACTCATGACTGCGCGCTTGCCAGGTAGGCGCTTACGCCGCTGAGCTATCCTCGGCCCCCTGCCCCAAATTTAAAGGCCCAGTGAAAAATGGGTATCTGAGGTGAAGACAGGTCTTAGATGAAGAAGCAGAAATAGCAGATGAAAATATAAAAAATGTTCAACATAACCAGTCATTCGACAGACGCAAATTAAAACAACACTGAGGGCTGGGGATTTCACTCAGTATTGTAAGTACCTGCCTGGCAATCCCAAGGTTGTGAGTTCAATTCCAGTAGCACTAAAGAAACAAATACAATACAATACAATACAGAAACTCCATCTCATCCCACAAAAACTATTATCAAGAAATCAACCAATAACAAATGCTGGTGGAGCTATGGGGAAATAGAAACCCTTCTCCACTGTTGCTGGAATGTAGACTGATATAACCGTGTGGAAATCGGTATGGAGATTTCAGAAAACTAAAGCTCAAGGTTCCATTTGACCCCGCTATTCTTCATATCTTCCCAAAAGAATAATAAAAGCACCATGCAACAGTAATACATACACACTCCTGTTTATAGCATCATAATATGTAACAGCTAAATCTTGGAAACAGCCCAAATGCTCATCGGTGGATGAACAGATAAAGAAGATGTGGGTATAACTGCAGAGTACCGCTCTGCCATAAAGAAGGAGAACCTCGAGACATTGCTAGGTACTTGGTTGCATTTTGTGACCGTAGCCTTAAGTGAAATATATTGGACACACATGTTTACACCCTGCACCGTTTCTCAGGTGTGAGAAACTGCAAGGGGAAATAAGGATCAAAATGTACACTCATGATAGTGAAGTGGGAAGAAAATGTTCAAATGGGGAGGGGAACAACAAATAGAGGGAGGGGGAAAGAAGGAAGTAAAAAGAACGAGGAATAGAAGCAAAAATGGGGAGTCAGGGGTGCAGCTCAGTGGTACAAGCGCCTGCCTGGCAAGCACAAGGTCGTGAGACTGCTCCTCAGTACCAACATCACCAGAGAAAAGTAAAAATGGAATTAAAGCTTTTGTGAATAGGAGAGGAAGACAGAAGAGAGGCTGAAGGGAGAGGAGGGAGTGGGGAAAAAGAAGAAAGATATATTATGTGCAGGTACAAATCCCCTGGGGCTATTATTAATTCATTTTTTTCAAATATGTATTATTTTAAAGAGAAGAAATAAAATTTCAAAACAATCATTGAGGGTCAAGAGTTGTATATATGTCTGACATTGTTCTCTTCAAATCAGTTACTCAAAATACATTATATGTTACTCAGAGTACAAGACATCTGCATTCAATTGTCCAAACAATAGTAGCACAGATTTCTCTTCAGTGAGATTAGAGAAACCAGTAGGATAACTTTCTCAACTATTATATCTACCTAGCTAGCTATACTTTCTTTCAGCTTCTCACACTAGTGAGACAATAAAATTTCCAACAATGTCTATGAAACTTAAAAAATAACACTAAAAAACAATTGAGTTGCAGAGCTGGGGTTTGAACCTAAGGCCTCACACATCTAAGCAAGTGTTTCACTACTGAGTTACACTTCCAATTCCCACAAATTCAATTTTCAGCACATTCACAGAATTTCAGTAATGTGAGGTAAATATGAGATAAGAGGGCAAGTACCATTTTTCAGAGGTTCGCCTGAAAATTCAGGACCAAGAAGTATCTTAAAGTGATCTTACATATTTGGAGGGAATATACTCACAGTTTCTCGGCCCAATGATATGATTCCCATGTCTTTTCTGGAAGATCATGAATAGCATTTCCTTGGAAACTTCTGTGGAGAAATAGTTTGTATCTTTGAGTAACTAGGAAAAGAATCATCAGAATACGTAAAAGAATCCTGGCAACCTGGGGGATATGGAAACAGATAAGATAGCTGTTTTTTAGATTTCCAGAGCAAACAGCGTCCTCATTTATACAATAAAAATAAAAGTATGAAAGTCCACTTGCACAAAAGATGAGCCTTCTCCTCCAAAGCTGAGCTTCCTATCAATCCAATCTCCTGGATAAATAATGCCTGTCAGTCATTTTTAACGTATTTTCCCCAAATCTCTGTGTCTAAGGTGACTCCTATAAACCAACAAGAAAATGAAAAATAATTCCAAAGAAAAATGGGCCAAAATGCATCATTATTAACAAATAATAATAAAGAAAGGGTACTGGCGCCAATGCTTTGGCTCAGTACTCTTTGTGGAAGCTCTGCAGGCAGTGGAAGGATAAGGGCAAGAGCAGCGTAGAGGAACTAACGTGCTGATGTGGAAAAACCGCTTGGACTTGATGTACAGGAAAAAACAGGAACCACCAGGCAAGGAGTAGGCCATCACCTTGTCAGGGCAAAAATTGCAAAGGAGAAGGAGGAACTCACACAAAACTGGCACCACAGCTTATCTCCTGTGTGACAGGGTGAGGGAGACAGGTGGTCAAGCACATAAGGGTATGGATCTCACATTATTCCATACACATCTCTAACTCCTTTTTAAGGGAGGTCTATCATGCATTGACAACAGTTATTAGGTCAGGAGTAGGGGAGCACGTCTGTGATCACAGCACTCAGGAAGCTGAGGCATGAAGATACCGATGAGCTTGAGGCCAGCCTGCCTCGAACCAGGGCTCAGTTCCCATTTTGCAGAAACTCATTTTAATCCCTCAGCAACAACTTTCCTGTTCAGTTTGCATACACTTTTCCTGAGGATGGCGGGAAAGCAATCAGTCTGCTCATGCGCCTAGTGAACATTTCCACGTGACCAGATGCATTCTCATTGCTCTGCGCTCACCACGGCCTCAAACAGAACTTGTGCCCCTCAAGCTGGCTCTCCTCCCTGCTTGGGCTGCCACCTGTGACTCCTCCACCACTCTCAGCTCCACACAGCGTGGAGACGGGAGCTCACCGGAGTTCGCACTTCTCTGTTCACCCTGCCCTCAGCTGTTTTACTGGCCACTTGGTCACGCAGTGTTCCAGTGTTCGCCCACTCTCACACCAGCACTCTGCTCAGCCACTTGTCACTTATCACTTATCCCCAGGCTCCTAGAGCTTCTAGGTCCCCCTGAATTCAGCCTTCCCTTCCAGATGCCTCCACATATGCAGTCTAACAGGGTCCTCCTGCTCCAATCATTTTGCCTTCTAGCTTGAAAATTCTCATTGTCTTTCTGTGTGTCTGTCTCTCTAAAAACCCTAAAGTTGATACTCAAGTTTCACAATGTGAAATAATATGTCATTGCTTCCTAACCCAGTTCTTGCCAAGCAGACTGTCCCATCCAGCCGTGTTCATTCCTGCTGCCATGCCTTCGGGCTGGCCTCCGGTGTTTCCTCAACTTGACAATTGCAGCCACTCTAAGCACCAGCTAAGGTTTGACAGCTTTCCCTGAGCATCATACTTGTGGTTCCAGATTTCGGAGAATCACAGCTCCTGAGGTCTGCATCCTCTTCTCCCCTTATTATACACACCACCTCCCTTTTAATGTTTTCCCTTTCCTATCATTTTTCATGTTCTGGAGAAAATGGTATTCTTATGTGTCCTCCAGTGTACCTCCTGATCTGGACATAACAGGATGCTAGATATAGAAACCAACAGACAAAGATGATTTCTGCACATAATTCAGGTACTAAATAATACTAGTAGCAGCCAAAATTCATCTATAGCCATGGTGCTAAATCTCACAGTCTTGTGAAATGGCAAATACTGTAATTTCCATTATTCAGATAAGGAAGCTGAGTCACAAAGCTAATAACTATACAAAGCTAATGAAAGAGATATCTAGGTTAAAACCCATGGAGTCTGGTTCCAGAATCTGTTCTTGGGGGAGGTGCAAGAGATTGAACCTGGACCCCGCTGCACGTACTAGACAAACACTCCACCACTGAGCTACACACCCAGGACCAGAGTCTACAACACTCACTTTGTTATATTGTCTCTAAGAAAATAGGTATGGGGCTGGGGACTTAGCTCTGGGGTGTCAGTGCCTGTCTGGCAAGTGCAAGGTTGCGAGTTCAATCCCTGGTACAAAAAAAAAAAAAAAAAAAAAAAAGACAGAAAATGAGTTATAAAAGGGTTAGAGCAAAGGTGGGGGAGCCGGGTTAAACAATGGTGTGTGGACTAAGTAAAAATGGGTAAGGACAAAGGGAAAGAAGCACAAGTACAAAGGAGAGTGGAACAAGGAAAATTTGGAAAGAAAAATGTAAAAGCAGAAAGTCAGTCAGTGGGAACTGGGGAGATGAGGGCTGCCCACGAAGGCCTTGGAGAAAAGGCTGCCACATCAGGCAGACTGTAAAGTACAGATGAAGCAAATTCATTCTTACAAGACTGTGAAAGTGTTGTTGATTTCGGGCTCTAGTACAGGAACTCGGTGAAGCTTCTGGGTTGGACTGAGACCAACACACGACAGGGTATGCTTTCTGCAGGTGCAGAGCTCACATGTCTTGGTTGTTCTGGTAGTGTTCTGGTTTTTTTGCACAGTTAAAGCCTTCTCGGGGGAGTAATTTCCAGAATACGGATTTATGGTATTTTCCGCATGCCAAGGTTGAAGCATGACAGGAATTAGGCCTGGGCTCCAAGTCTGCACCTGGTCTGAATATGCAAGGGTGACCTCAGGGTGCATTGGTGAAGGAGCTTCAGTCTTCTGCAGGGCCACAGAATGCTCAGCCTCTGTAGAAAGTCCCGAACTTTTGGCAAAGCTTATATCCAAAGGGTGAACAAGCGATATTGGATGCTGAGCTTGGTCCAGACCTGGGGTGGGACCTGTCATCCCAAATGACAGCATATGTTGAACTATAGGCTCCAGAGATGCCTCTCGAGATTGATATGGTATCTCTGCTCTAACTGGGTAAACTGTATCCTCTGAAGCAGCCAGAGAAGCCATGGAATGATCCAGAGGCACAGAGTAAGCCATGACAGGAGTCAGATTTGGATACCAATGTTGCACTGGGTCTGGTTGTACAGGTGTCACCTCAGGGTGCTTCTGAGGAACAGTTGTGGTGCTCTGCACAGTCGTAGAATATTTACTCTCTGTAGTAGGTTTGGGACTTACAGTAAACTTTGTGGTCAGTGCTTGTAGTATGACACTGGGTGATGTTGGATGCTGAACAGGGTCCTGCCCTGCCCTTGGAAGTGTTATTTCATGTGGCACTAAGAGCTCAGGTATATCTCCCTCAGGAGGTTGTTGAGCCTGAGTGGGGTTTGGCTGCCACACTGGAGATGATTTCTTGGGAAGCAGAGGTTTGGCCTTCTTGGAGAACTTTAGTGGCAGACGCAGGACTTCGTGCTGTGATGCAGCAGAAATTAACTCTTTTGGAGCATTTGGAGTCTGCCCTTTGACTCCTTGCTGAGCCGGAGAAGACTTAGATTTTTCAGAGAACTCTGCATGCTGGAAAGAGGGGCCAATTTGGACGAGAGAGAGTTCAGTAGGAACTTTAAGCCGATCTTCCTGATAGATGACAGAAGCCTCACTCTCAAGGATGGGCTTTGCAGGTGCAGTAAGCTCCAGATCCACATGTGTCACTGGGGTTTGAGACAATACTGAATGCTGATGTACAAGTGAATCTGTCATGCTAGCTGCCAATGGAAGAGCACTACCACCCTTGCTCCAGGGCCCTAGAGGCTCAGCTGAGAGCTCTTGCTGGATCATTTGAAGTGTGGCACTCACAGCAGGCTTTGAGGGCAGAGCTAAGCTCTCCTCCTGTCTTAGAGAATGTTCAGGAAGCTCTTCAGAGTGAACTGGGATCACTTGATCCACCAGAGAATAGTCATCAGTTACCAAAGAGTTTGGCTGCTGAGCTGTAACACTTTGCTGAACTTTCCAAGGTTCAAAGAGTGCAGACAACATGGAGGACAAATCTGGGGCCATTTGCTGGGAAGATTCAATCTTCACAGGCTCCGGAACTGTAGTAACTTCCATATCCAGAGGCTGGACTCTAAGGGTGAGCAGCTTATAATGGAGACCAGCATCCTCATCTAGAGGCTGAAATGTCACCTCATGATGTGGGGTTTTAGCCATACTCTGTGGAGAAGACTCTGGACCTTGAGCCTCTTGCTGGCCTGGGAGTTTGACTTCACAGTTCAGTTTTGCAGGTTGAGCTCTGTCCAGCAGGCTGTCTGGAGGTTCAACCTCCCCCACTGTCTCAGAAGGGGGAACTGCCTGGTCCTGGAAAAGTTCAATTGTCTTAGGGAAACCTGAAGGTGGAGAGGGGGCCTCCTGCTCACAAAGAGATAGTTCCACCTTCTCAGCATGTGCTGCAGGCTGAGCTGGGGTCTCCAGCTGGCTTTGGAAATGTTCAAACTCTCCAAGATATTTAGAAGGCTGAGCTGGCTGTTTCTGCTGCCTGACAGAAGGTTCAAGGACCACAGGAGGACCTAGACGCTGAACCGGGACCTCTTGATGGGCCACAGAAGATTCAACCTCCTTGATAGGCTTTGTAGTTATGATAAGTTCTGCATATGCAGGCTTAACTCCAAGAGTAGGCCGGTCATTATGGTGATCTGGAGACTGAAATATCACTTTGTGGTACAGCGGAGTTTTAGCCACACTCCGTAGAGAGGACTCTGAAGTTTGAGCATCTTCCTGGACTGGAGGTCTGCCTTCATTAACAGACTTTATAGGCTGAGCTGTGGCCTCAGGCTGACTCTCTAGGTACTCACCTTCTTCAGTCACCTCAGAAAAAGGAACTGGATTCTTCTGCTCACTAGCAGAAGGCTCCTTTGCCATAGGAGGACCTAGAGGTAGAGGGAGAATCTTCTGTTGGAATACAGTTGTTTCCACCTCCTCAGGATTCTCTGGAGA